ATTGGCCACCATTCTTTTTTTTAGTTTGGCCATTATTGGCCTGCATACTTTTAGTTTTTTCATGGATACCAATGGCCTCCTCATTAACAGGAGCTAATGCCGAGTATTCATCAGGATTGTCTTTATCGGGGTTTTTTTTTATGGAAAATAAATGTTGGCCACTTTCAGTTTCTTTTTGATAATTAAAAATGAGGGGACACTTTTTTCTTCATTTTCAAAGGGAAGGGGAGGGGTGAAAAAGGAAAAAATAGTTAAGTTTTATTGGAAAAAAAAATAAATGAAAAACAGATAAAAATTAACCCAATAAGTTTAAATAGATGAACAAAGAAACAAGGTTTGCCTAAAGGCAAAACAAATTTAAACAGACAAAAGAAAATGCAAAACAAGAGGACGTCCGACAGACGAGAACAAATGGACAAGGTTCGCCTAAAGTGAAACAACATATTTAAAACAGAAAAACGTACAAAAATTAAAAAGATGGTAGATGAGAAAGCAACAAATTAAACAATAAAATGAAGCGTTGTACAAGGAAAAAGTAGGAAAACACTATACAAATAATATACGAAACGATAAATGTAACAATTTACAATATGGCTGCTGATAAAAAACGGTCAACCCTAAAACGATAAAAAAAAAAAAAAAAAAAAAAAGACAGAATATACAAAATAAACACAAAATTTACAAACAAATATATTACAGAAGAAATTAACAAATAAAACAGAACTTTACGGATATTTAAAAGAAAAACACAGTACAAAGTAACACGTAATAATAAACAAAGAAAAATACAGTCGAACAAAAACATGTAGAAAGAAAAATAAACAGATAAATTCTAAGAAGAGGGTACGGGAAGAAAATAAATTTAAAAAAGGAAAATAAACTATGAGAGAAAATCAAAAAGTTAAATAATAAAATAATAATAGCAAAATAAAGTAAAAATAAAAATGGGGAGGGTAAGGAATTGAAAAGGAAAAATCAAAACAGTCAAAACAAACGTAAGAAAAACAGTAAGAATAAATCAAAATTTAATAGAATAACAGCAGTAAATGGTTCAAAGGATTCTCAAAGTGACAGAATAAAAGTCTAACAAAGGCAGATCTGGACTGAGCCATGTCAAAATGCAAGCTGTCCCATTTTATCAGCTAAGAAAAATATCCCAGCATGCATTCTGTGTCTTTCTAACTATAAGACAGGGAGGAGGAAAATTTTGCAATCCATTCCCATCCCATTTGAGTCATTCCAACACTTATTGCAGTCATTTCTGCTGCAGATTGGGATTTTTAGACAGATTGTGGCCATTAGATGAGTATTGGAGTATGATTGATTTTGTTTTTAATTGGGAAAGGAGCTTTCTACATTGAGGAATTTTTGTGACATGTTTTATCTGTGTTTTTGTTGTTTCACTTGTGAATATTGTTTTGAATATTTCTGTTTATTCGTTGGACCTGTTTTGTTGAACTTTTTTCATTGTGTGTGCAGGCATGGGACTCCTCTATGGTGGAGTCTCCTCAACAGCATTCAGCTTTGTCCCCATCTCAAGTTTTGGCATGGGTCGCTAATAAACCCATGAAAAAGAGCCCCCAAGATTATGTGGTGCTACAAAATAAATATGCATCTTAAAATTACGGTAATGAACTTCTCCCAAAGGGGCTGCTCCATCAAAGAAGCCACAGAAAAAGCAGCAGCAGCAAAGGGGGCCGTAAGAACAACAGAAGCAGTTGGAATATCATCCACGACAGCTGCAGCAGTCACCAGAGCAAGTGATGTTGCCACAACTTGACCATTATATGGAGGTGGAGGCTTCTCCTTCACCATGATCTTCCTCAATAAAAAGGAGGAAGATAGACGGAGGAAAAGGATGAGACAGCTGGCAGAAAAGAAAAGAACCCTGGTTGAAGCTGGGTGGAAAGGACCCTAGTACCTGACAAGAGCAGATCTGCCCCGGTTTTGCAGGTAAGGAGACTAAATCAGAGATCTCAGAGGTAAGGTGAGGAGCTTCCCTCCTGATTGTGCTCAGTCTTCTTCTCCCAACCCTTCATAAAGCAAGAAAGAGAAAAAAAAAAAAAAATCCCCCTAGAGGGAAGAAAAGGAGCTGTATCAGAGGAAGGCCCTCTTGGAACCTCTGTTTAAATGTACTTCAGTCAGTTGGGGCCGTTCCTGGTTTATTTATCACACTTTGTCTTAATGGGTGACTGGAATGCCAAGATAGACAAGAGGCAGGGCACTAGCAGGAAGTCATCAGGCAATCGTAGGTTGGTTATTCTGATCAGTGAGTTTGGGCTTATCGATAGATATCGGGCAGAGGCTGGGGGGGAGATTCCCTATAGATAGCTAGACAGGCTCTGGAGCATGAGACTAGCAATTGCTATCAGGGTCAGATAATTAGAGATAGGTTAAACAAGATGTTTAATAAAGTTTTATTTTACTTTGAATATGCTTTTATTTTAGTTTCTTTTTCGGGTAATCCCCTCCCCCATTATTACATGCGTCATGAAAAAAATTTATATATTTTTGTGTAAAAATATTTTTTTAAAAAATAAAGAAAAAGACATTTTGAACAAGCTTACAAAAATCTTATTAAAGTCTAATTGGGATCTGCAAAATATTTCAATAATGAAATTGTTTTGTTTATTAATTAAAAATAAAACCTTTTTTTCAACATTAACTTTACTGAATGACATTTATCAAAGAAGCTTTTTGTTACCTAGATTGTTTCAATCTATTCTATGGCTTTCTTCAGATATCCTATCAACATTGATTTGTTTGTTTTATGGCATATCAACCTCAATGGGTCATTTAATGCTGACAACTTTTTTTTTTTTTTCCCCCGATAATGTTTTTGTTTTGTTAGAAATCCATTTCTATCAATATCTCCTTCCTCTGAAATATATAGCTGGTAATAGTATTTTTCCAAAAACGTATAGCTGGCATATCCTTTCAAAAACATATTGCTGGTAATATTTTTTCTTTCAAAAATTTATTTCTGGTAATAATTTTTTTTATTTTTTCCTCTCAGTTCCATTGAAGTATCTTACAAAAATTTGTGATCATTGTTTTCCTGTTTGGTTTATTGGATTACTTTTGTGTTTTAAGAAAACCAGGTTTTTTCTTTCAAAAAGCATTGTTGGTAACATTTGGTTTTCAAAAATGTATTGATGGTAATAATTTTTATCAAAAGAGTTTCTGGTATTAAAACCCATTTTTACACTTTCACAGTGTTTTGACCCCAGTTACAGTTCCATTGAATAAGGTTTTGTTAAAAAACATAGCTGGTAATATTTTTCTTTTTTTTTTTTTTAACTGTATAGTTGGCAATATAATTTTCCAAAAATGTATAGCTGGTAATATTTTATCAAAAACATATAGCAGGTAATATAATTTTTCAAAAACATATAGCAGGTAATATAATTTTTCAAAAACATATAGCAGGTAATATCATTTTTCAAAAACATATAGCAGGTAATATCATTTTTCAAAAACATATAGCAGGTAATATCATTTTTCAAAAACATATAGCAGGTAATATCATTTTTCAAAAATGCACTGCTAGCAACATTATTCCTTCGAAAACGTAGAGCTGGTAATACTATTTTCCCCAAAAACGTATATTTTATATATTTATTTTTTCAAAAACGGCCTTTCTGTTGGACATAGTTTATCGCCATACCCAGTATGTGGATGTAGTTTATCAACATTGAAATAGAGGGACTCTTTTTCCACCAGTGCAAATCAAAAAAACATCAAAGTATAAAACATTATCAGCAATATTCATAAAATAAGTGATTCTACATGCCAAACAGCTTATTCCATAATTTTTAATATGAAAATTCATTTTTTGGTTAAAGCAAAAATTTCTATACTATGTTCTTAAGCAAAAAAATAGAAAAAGCAAATGGACACAAGTATTGATGGCATGGATAGAGTTCACAGTCCAACAGAACTTGTACAAATGAATTTGGTTAGTATAGAACATAAACATGTCATTGTTTTTTTGTTTCACAATCTTTATACCATTATTATGACAACAATTCTCCAGAACTCTATCTTTCTCAGCAAAAAACTGTTCTACATGCCTTTTGCACTCTTCAAGGAAATTGAAAGACCAGAATCCAAATATAATCCAAAATCTGGTGAATATGGCAAAGGAGTGAAAAGTTCACAGCCAAGCAATTTTTGCTTTGTCAGAAAAGAAAATTCAGTCAAGTATTTTTTCCTAATGGAATATTATATCACTTTTCTCAACTGTAATCTTCAGTTCTAATTAGGAGCAATATTTGTTCAAATTTATTGCTTCTCTGCAAGACAATTTAGAGTTGAGGACACTTTTCCAATCCTATTATATCCACAGTATCTTTGGTTTTAATGAAGATAAGCACAACACATAACACAGACTATGTTCCATCATTTATGATCGTTTCTTCATAGATTTTTCTTGCATTTGTATTATATGTTTAGCTTTCTTAAAATAAAAAAGACGTTGAATATGTGAAAAATGTTGCTTATTTTTCTTTCATTTACAATATTAAGATCAATAAACAAAGATATGCTAATTTCTATTTAAGCACACACTATAACATCTGTGACAAACCAATCAAAAATTGATCTCTGGTTAGCTTATACTAAATGCTTCTAATTATTAAAAATTTTTTGTTGTTAGATGCAACAAAAACTTTTTAAGCTATCTAGTATCAAAGAATAAGTTAGAAATCAATTAGGGAATTAAGTTAAGATTTTTTTTTTTTTATCAACTAGCCTTAAATATTTAATAGTAAGAAACAAAAATCCACAGTTAACAAAAATCAATTTAAAAAAAAAAAAAAAAAAAAAAAAACTTTGTGCTTTTGGTAAAAATGTAAATGTTTGTCCTCAGCTGTCAGCTTTGAATTATTTGCTTCAAATTTTCATTTTTATGGAAAGATTTACACAAAACTGGTATCAAAGTTTGTATTTTTCAATACAAGCATGAGACAAAAGTAAGAAAGTAGTAATTTGGATATTACCTTTATCCCCATCCTCATCACCCCATGAATTCTCAACCCTCCATTTGTCAGTTTTTTCACCCTGAAGAAATAAAAAATTGAAATAAAATCTTAAGCCAAAGATGATAACTGCTGCAACAACTGAAGATACTTAAAAATCCTAAAAGTTCATTGATAAATCTTTCATGTCAGAATTTTAATTTTTTAGGAAATTTATTACAATATTGTACACCAACAGCTAGTTTTTATGTCATGCACTTTATTGTATACCATAATATGATAATTATATAAGCCATTTTTATAATAAAGACAATATGATAATTACATCATACAGATTACTGTTTCATCTATTGATTTAGTTTTAAATATAATTTTTGAATTTGAATAATTTTTTTAATGTAATTCATAAGTTCTTTACACTATTTCTATTCAGGTATTGTATTTGTTGTTATCACAAAGTTTCGCCTGTTATGCTCTCAAGCCTTCATCATTTGTATATTGATCTGGGTAACCTACAGGGAATTCTGAACAGAACCATTTATTAGACTGTTCTTGTTCCACTGCCCATTTCTAGGGATATCGTCTAGTTCCTATTTTTAGTACTGCTCAGTTATTGCTTACCCATATCCACAGAGTCCAAATACAGACTACATGGCCTAGGGACTCACAAATACTATGTCATCAAATTCACAAACCAACACTTTCATCTACTAGGTTATTGTCCAATACATAGTAATTGTGAGTTTGATCCCAGTTGAAATGTTTTGATAACAGCAACCAAGATATGGAAAATAATCTGAATATAAGTAGCGTAAATAATGATAACTCCTCATCCCAGAAATTCAGACAGAAATAATTTTTAAGTGTTTTTTAAAATTTTAAAAGTATTTTTTTTAAAGTTAAATCTTTTAAGTTATGATTTTCCATTTATAAAAAAAGCCAACTGAAATGTTACACAATAGTTGACAAATTAACATAATACATTATTTTCCAGTTGGTTTAAATAGTGGGTTTTCCAAATATGTTACAAAGTGGCAAATGTTACAACTGAGTCAAACTGCTTTTTATATATAAAGAAAAAAAAAAGTAAAATGTCAAGCAAACAAAAAACATGTTTGGAAAGAGACTAATCAGTCTGACAATTGTCTAACCAGTTTAAAAAGATCAAATCCAGTGTGGATAGGTGGTAGGATAATTATTTTATCGGAAACTTTTGGAATAAAATGAACTGACTCAAGAATTTAAAATAAATATTTTTTTTTTATTTTTTTAAGAGTGATAAGTGAGTTCTTTGGTATTCGGCATAACAAAAAGTTTGTTAATAAGGCAGATATTAGTAGCAGTCTGGGGAAATGTCCATTTTGGTAGTTTGAAGAAAGACCATGATAAAAGTAGTAGTAATATCAGAAATTAGGTTAGTGTCAATCTACTGCATTTTTTTTTTTACTCTGAACAGGGTGGAAATATCATTAAAAAATGACTTAACTGTTTCTTCATGCATTATGCATGGCTGCATTCTTTTGTTCCATTCTATCCTGTCCTGTCTGCCTAGAAGTGTCAGGTTTATATCCTCTTGACAAATTCGAGAATTTAGTGTGAATGTTGGTTTTGGCTAACATCAAAAGTTTCTGTGTCAAATTTTTGATTGGCCAAAATTTTTTTTTCTGGCATTTTTTTTTTTTTTTATAATGGAGGTTGAGAAAAGAAAGAGATGTTGAGAGAGAGAGAGAGAAAAGAGAAAGAGATAAAAGGTTTTAAAAGGAATGTGCAAATACCTTATTTTAATGTGAATTTTTTTTACTTTTGTTTATATATTTTATTTTTATCAGGACATACCAGTCATTTACATTCCAAATTTTGTTTTGAACAACTGACAATGGCAAAAGAATGACAAAGGTTGTATAACAACAAGAATACAAAAAGAGGAGGTTATCTGAACGAAATTTGAAATGAAATGAAAAAGCTTGCAACATGCATATTCTATGAGATTATATAAGCCTTATAAGAAATAGAATGCAGCCATTATCTGAAAACAAATTTACTTGTCTAATTTTAGATCAGGTTTGCTTTGAGGAGCATATTTGTCAGTTTTCTTCATGCTAGACTAAGGCTTATTGACAGATCTCATTATATACATAATAAATATTAACTAAAAAAAGAAACACTAACTGAAAAAAAAAAAAAAAAAAGTACTAAAAGCAGAAAAATTAAAGATCCCCAAATTGTTGACAACCTTAAAAATGTAGATATGACAGGAAATGATGGTTTGAAAAAGAAAATTTCATCAGCAAATAGAAAATGAATCTCACATCAACATTGACACCAGTGAATAACATGGCATGAGTCATCAAAGATTCTCTGTAAATCAATCGTTCTGCTTTATTCAAAGTCTGAACTTCACAGCCAAACACTTTCTTGTAGTCATGGCTAAAATAAAAAATATTAATATTATCTAATAAAAAAGTCATACATTGAAATCAAATGGCTATAGAAATTGAAATTCTTTTTTAACTGTTGACAAATTTTAGTTTAAATTAAACAGAAGTACAAACTGATTGATAGAATCAGTTGCTTGTCTTTTTTGTATTAATTATTTCTTAGGTTTTTGCTGAAAATTATGTCCCCACAAGTTCTTTATTTCAAATCATGGTTTTAGTCTAACAGAAACAAACCAGTTTAAGAAAGTTTTAAAATTTGTTTTTATGCACGTCATTATGGATTTCAAACTTTTTCTTTCATTAAAATCGTCAATTTCAAGAAAAATGCCAATAAATTTGATTCGATATTGTGATAAGCTTTATCATATAATAATACAACACTAATCTTCTGTTTAAGTGAATGAAAGATTAAAAAAAAACCCCAAAAACCCTTACGCTTTCAGATCCAAGACTCCATGTTGTTTTCCTTGGAATTGCTTACCAACATCACATCCAAACCATACACTCTGAAAAAGGGAAAAATTATTTTTGTCATTTGAACAAATTCATTATTTTTGAGAATACTTATTAACACAGTTATGTAGCAATAAAAAAAACATCTTGGTTATCAGATAGGTTTAATATGAAATATAAGTAAAACTTAGCTCAGAAGATAACCATACAAGAAAAAGATAGTAAAATAATAGTGACAATACATAGTAATATTCATTGTTGTACATTTAAAGTCATCTTACAAGATGATGCTGAAAAGTTCTCAGCCTGACCAAGGACATTTGGTTAGATTTCAGAAAGCTTAAGACTTTCACCACCTCTTCATACATTCAGTATATATATTATAATTAAGTAAATTCATCAGAATGCAGAAACCACTGGATAGCCATTTTGTCATATATTTGGGACTCATCAGCAGTGCACATCCACTACTGAGAATTGAAACCCAGAAAGTTATGTTATCAGGCAAACATCTTACCAACTGTAGCAACAGGCCTTGGTGACGAAGAGGTAGCAAATTAGACTCGATATAGTGCCACTTGATCACATATTCCATGGTGGAACTCATCTGAGTTTCCCTTACCCATAGGACTGTGCCCCCATGAGCCACAACTACTATCCCGAAGCTGCTCCATCCAGAACATTAGAAGCCAGTTCAAGCAAGGATATACAAGTGATAGAAATTATTAGGAGGATTTGAGATAATTATAATTAAGTAATTCATTGAGACTAGAAGAATGCTAATGCTCTGGATGGAGCGGCTTGGGGATAGTAGTACATATATATATATATATATATATATATATATATATAAAAAAAAAAAAGAAGAAAAGTGGTGGGGGGAGGTTCAATTTAAAAGCTGTAAAAATGTTTTAAATGTAAAATCTAGCATACAGTTCATGGAATATATATTTTTTATTTTCCACTCTATAAACTGACAATTAGTATAATTTATAGAAAACTTAGATTTTATTTGATGTCACTGGTGAAAGTTGGACATGACAGTGGAAGCAAAACACAAACATTAGAGAAAAAAATAGACAGATGATGCTAACTTTAAAGATGGCAACATCAGTCTATTTTTTTTCTAATGTTTGTGTTTTCATAATTCATAATTTATTTTGAATAAATCAAAATGGTAAAAAAGAAGCATTTTGGTTTTTGTGAAAGAACCAAGAAAGACAATACTACACAATTATTCTAAAAAGAAGTGCATTTTCAAAATTAAAAATTATATTTAACCATTCAAGATTTTAAAAATAACTGAAAATAAAAGTATGCAAATCTAATATCACTTGAATTAAGTAATGTCAATTTGAAAAGTTATAGTCAATCATAAAACAAACTACATTGTGATTACACTGAAGTCAATAAGAAGTAATTGTCTGCTGAGAAATGAAAGAAGATGCTCACTTTTTTCTTTAATCATTTCACCCTCAAGCAATTCAATAATGCCACTAACATGCAAGGGGTTATTGTGAGTGAAAGTAGATAAGAAGACTATAGTGAGGATTTAGGAAAACACAAGATTGCAGATGACAATTGTTGTGGCCTGGCCAGAAAGAAAGAACACGGAAAGAAAAAGGTAGATTGAACAAGTGTATTGAAATAAATGATATATACAAAGTAAGAGTGTTATTAGTCAGCAGATAGAAATGTCTGTCTAAGCTGTCAGGTTACACTGCATCTTGACTGTCTCTGTAGGAATTCTCACAGGTTGGTTTTTATGAAAGGAGGAAGAGTTCATTCCCATGTAGGTAGGAACCATAACATGTAAAATCTTAACACTGTCTTTTTTTTTTTCTCCATTTTTTTTTTTAATAAACATGTGTTGACCATGGATTTTCTTTTGTTTTTTAACCAACACAAAGCTGAACAAATTTGATAATACGAAGAACGTCTTTAATGCCATTTAAAGAAATAATAAAAAATATAGACATCAATTGCCTTAAATAAAAATGTGGAATTAATGACTGTGCATCAAAGATTGTGTTCAACAAGACAGTTTATTTGCATTATTTAGCAGTAAAGAACTTAATTCAATTTTAATCATCTTGTCACCTGATACTGACTGCTTCTGATATACTTTGGCTAATTTCTTCAGTTTCAATTTCTTAGCAAAAGTAAATTTTTAGCATCAAAGTTGAATGTTCCATTTTTACAACCAATAGAAAACATGTTTTTCACCTACAGCCATTCAAGTGGCATTTTTAGCCTGGAAAAGAGAAAAAAAAAAAAAGAATAAAGCAAATATAAAAGAATATTATTCTCATACAAAATGTTTTAGTTTTTAATGATTATTTTAATTAAATATTAAATTAAGCCTGACATCATCCTAAAATAAACAACAAATTGGATTAAAAAAAGAAAACTGTTTATGACTGCACCCTGTCATACTATTGTGATGGAAAAAGTACCCATTATAAGGTATTGGTATGTATTGAGTTAATTCCCTGGCAAAATGGCATTCTGGAAAATCTAGATTTACACAGGGGCGCTGTTTAACAATTTGTTTAGGAATAGTTATAAGATTATTATGGCCAATTTTGAACTTATCTAAAAGAAATGAATAAAACACCAAAAGTAAAATGGAAAATAGTAAAAAAAACAAGAACTTGTTAAACCTGGGATGAAAAAACATGCCCTTTATGCCTACACGAAAACTACACATCATTAAATTTCTAAATAATGAAAAAATTATTAAACCATAGGCAGGAGTTAATTGGTTTTTTTTGGTGAATATCAACAAAGTTTTCGCATTAAATAATTAGTTTAAAAAAAAAAAAAATATCCCATAGCTTAATAAAAATCTGTAAAAATAAGCCAAATCATTAAATGGGAAAAACCCTTTCTGTCTTCCTCAAAAGGAAAAAAATTGAAATTCACTACAAATGGTTTTTTTATAAAAAAGAAGATTCATTTTGAATAAACAAATAAATAAATAGATAATCAGATTTTAACAAAACACAATCCTCAAGATTTAACGTTTGTAGGCGTGCATAAAAATTTTCCCATTTTGGGAACCAACTAAAGGATGCCACTTCAACATTAGCCTTGAAAGATCTAATACCTTAGCAAATCCTCTCTCAGAGGATTTTGAATCTATAGATAAGAATTAACTATTCTGGTTTTTAATGAAGAAAAGAAATCAAAGCCACCCCACAAAAATTAAAAATGTTAGTACACGGATGTTGCCAAAAAATTGGTAAACCAAAAGATAGCTTTTTCCAAAAATTTCGTTGAAGATGAAACGAGACTAAACACCTCAATTCAATAATTTAATAATTATTTGGATGAAAATGTACTCTCGTTTTTGAAACATGAGAAGGGGCCAGTGAAGAAAGATCATATTTTAAACAAAAATATTATTATATATATATATATATATATAATATATATATATATATATATGCTCATGAAATAATTGAGCTCCTCAGATTAGAAGGGTCAATTTATAAACAGTGGCTGCTGCTGCTGCTAATGCAATGCTTTTTCTATTTGAATTGAGCTCCCTTAGCTACTGAAAAGAAAGTAAAAAAACATTAAAATTTCCTTCCACTCTGCTGAAGACAATAATATTGGTGGTAGAATCTTTGACTGAGGCCAAATTGGTTGGGTTTCAATCCTGGCTTGAAGCAATCAGAGATCTATCCATATTGATGAGCTGTGATACAGCAAAACATATATGTCTGTGGATGACTATATATATATATATATATATATATATATATAATTTCAAGATGCAGTTCTATGAAAAAAATACATGACCATGTGAGAGAAAGAAATGTTATCAACAGAACCACGTGTTTAGATGCAACATAATATGTTGTGACTAGTTTGAAATGTAATTTGTTGAGTGTGGGTTGCTTTGTTTTAATGTATATGGTCTCAATATTTTAAGGTTCTTTTACTGTGTGTATGTGGGGACAGTTTTGCCTATTTTATGGATCGAAATTAAAGCCACTATACTAAACTTAGAACAGCTCCTGATCAAACATCATAGACATATGTTGTTTGTTATATTTAACAATATATATATATATATATATATATATATATAAAGAAAATATACGGAAAAAACAAACAAAAATCCTACTATGCAATTATGCTGTTTTAATATTAATATAATGTCAACATCGGACGTTTCAGTCTAGTAGACCATCTTCAGGAAATATTCATAAAACATAATTAACATTAGACTATATTTAATTCAACATGAAAAGACGATGGACATAAGATATAAGACTAATCAAAACAGACAATTGAAATTTTTCAAGATCAGCATTCCGTTTCAATATGATCAGATAAATATATACGGGGAAGTTATAAAACATACATATTCCTAAAATATAGTATTTTGAATGAAAAGGAAAGAATTTTATTTAAATCTAAAACTTATATATACGTATCGAGCATAATCTTGCTAGAAAGGGAAATAATAATTTACTAGAAAGGGAAATATTAGAGAAGCCAGGTCTAGTATTCTTTGTTTTTCCGTATATTTTCTTCATACTGTCGGGATCTATATCCATATATTTGCTTATATATATATATATATATATATATATATATATATAGGCCACCCAGAGTGAAGAGGGAAGCCATCCTTGAATGAAGATGACCATTGTGAAAAGATGGATCCCGCAGGAGTTTAACAGTACATGCCTTCATAAATGATGGATCTATAAGAGATCTCAAACAAAACAAAAAAAACTGAATATTTTGCATGATTTTCATTGAATGCTGTCAAATTATATGACAATACTTGAAATGTTTCAAAAAAATGTATCTTCATTGTAAATTTGGATTAAAATCTTAAATCTTTAAGGACACAATTGCTCAAATGTACTCATAAGTTTAACATGCTTACAGTCTTTGAGTGTATTGAATACACCTATCAGGTAGCATTGTATTTCAATATAAAAAAATTTTAATAGGCAGGATTAAAGATAGCTACAACTTTTTGAAAATATACAGTCTTTACAACATTGTAGATTTTTCAGGATTAAATTTCTAAAGTTGTAGGAAGGATGTGTTGTGTGTGTATGTATATATATATATATATATATATTTTTGTGTGTAATGTACTGTAAACTTTTGCATTATTAAATATTAGTTTTTTCTTTGTGGGATATTTTATTGATTATTTTTTTTTAAATTTGTTTGACTAAAGGCTTAAACATATGTATTATTAGCAGTAAAGTTTCATTAATGTGTTAGAAATACCTAAAAAGAAACATTTTTGTAATGTGTTGTAAACTTTTATATATATATATATATATATATATATATATATATATATATATATATATATATATGTGTGTGTGTGTGTGTGTGAGTAAAGAAAAGGGATGGATTTTTCTTATTGATTCAACAGATTTTTTCTAACGTAAACATTATTTTTAGTGGATGCTCATACTTGAGTAGAAACTCAGTTCATTCATTATACAGTATATTTATTTATTTTGTCCACTGGCCTGAATATTCAAGAATTAAAATTATTAAAGAAAAAATATGAGTTCTCTGTCAGATTTGAACCCTGGCAGTACAAACTGCCATTATATTCAATGTGCTTTAAACTGACTGACCATGGTGTGCATTGTCAATCAAACAATTTTGAATCATATACCTTATAAACGTAAATCTTTTCAAGACTCTTGAAATCTTCATATCTACTAGGTTTTGTATCTTAATGTAAACAAAAGCAATTTCTAAAGAAGTGATACATTTTATTTATTACTTAAACATTATTTTTAATGGATAATTGTATTTTTAGATGCTTAGTTTATTTATTAAACAGTATATTTATTTTTTTTGTCTACCGTCCTGAATATTTGAGAAAACTTATTAAACAAAACTATCACTCACTGACAAAAATCTGCTTGATCAACAACGCACCATGTGGCTGGGTCTGTCTAAAGTATGTCAGATCTAACAACTGTTTCTCCGGCCACAGGAGATGCAGGGTCACAACATAGTGAACCAACTTTCTTAGCTGCAGACTTAGCAATTGATTTAATATACTCTTTCAGATGAAAATGTTAGTCCGAGAAAAGACTATTTCTTAGTCTTATTTCTAATCAATTCTGTTTCTATCATGTATGATAATGATAGCTTGAAGATTTACAGTAAAAATTAACATTAACAAAATATTTAAACTCACACGCACAAATGCACACACACATTATATACATACACACACACAAAAAATATATACACACAAAAACACAAAAACATATGCACACAAAAACATATGCACACAGACAAAAATATAATTATATACACACACACATAAAACAACAAAAACAATTTATATACACACACAAAAAATTATATATATATACACACACAAAAACATAATTATATATATATAATTATACACACACACATACAAAAATATAATTATATACACACACAAAAATATATACATATATACACACACACAAATATATACATATATACACACACACAAATATATACATATATACACACACACAAATATAATTATATACACACACAAAAATATATTATACACACACAAATATAAATATATATACACACACAAAAATATAATATATACACACACAATATAATATATATACACACAAAAAATATATATATACACACACAAAATATATATATATACACACACAAAAATATATATATACACACACACAAATATATAATTATACACACACACAAAAATAAATATATACACATACAAAAATATAATATATATACACACACACACAAAAATATAATTATACACACACACAAAATAAATATATATATACACACACACAAAAAATAATATATACACACACACACACAAAATATATATATATATATATATATACACACAAAAAAATATAATTATATACACACACACAAAAATAATATATACACATACAAAATATAATTATATACACACATATATTAAAAATATAATTATATACACACACAAAAAATATAATTATATACACACACAAAAAATACATTATACACACACACACAAAAATATAATTATATACACACACAAAAAAATATAATTATATACACACACACACACACACAAAAATATAATTATATACACACACACATACAAAAAATATAATTATATACACACACACAAAAATATAATTATATACACACACACAAAAATATAATTATACACACACACAAAAAAATATAATTATATACACACACACACAAAATATAATTATATACACACACACACAAAATATAATTATATATACACACACACAACAAAATATAATTATATACACACACACACAAAAATATATTATATATACACACACACACAAAAATATAATTATATACACACACACACAAAAATATATATATATACACACACACAAAAATATAATTTTCCAATTTTTGTCTTCTTTAGAGAAAAAACAAACAAACTCAAAATTACCCTAAAAAACATTAAATCTAAAAAAGTTTTTGTTATTTTGGTCTTACCCTGCAAACATATGATAAATGGTTTTAAGTTTGAAATTTTTACATTCAAAGAAAATATCCATATCTTCAACGCCATCCAACAATCATTGAGTTTACCATATATATATATATGTTTTCAATAATTGCCAAAAGTCTTTAGAACCTGGTCTTGAGCTTTTATCCATCCTTGTCCAAGAAAATATATACCTTCAAAAAAATATCAATCAGAAACATAATGGCGGCTGCATGTGGCCTGGGAATCAATATTGATATTCCCAAATACTGAAGCTGTAAATAACATAAATCACGAATGATGTAAATAATTAAATATAAAAATGTACAATTCCAAACATATTTACTTTATAATACTTGGAAAAATATGCCTTCAATACAAATATGATACATTATATCGAAAATATTACAACATATATACATATATATATATATATATATGACACACACATATATATACATATAAGATTATATATATAAATAACTATCACACACATACACACACACACACACACACAAATATTTTTATACAAATGAATTTTTCTTTTTAGATCAAAATTTCATTTGACTTTGTTTGTTCACCCTTTCATTTAAATTCAATTTGGGCAAGGGAATGACTCAAGTTGAGCAAGAAATCACTAATCATCGGGTAGTGTCTTTTCATACATATTTGTTGCAACAATTCAACTATCATGTCAATGTTGAAACCTGCTCATCAATTCATTCCATGCATTGCATAAATTACATATCAAGAGAGTCAGATCAAGCTGTCTTTACATGACCTTTGAATTTTTTCCCTAGAAGAAAAAATCCAGAAATTGTGGGTCACAATTATTTGAAATTAATAATCATTTTCTTACAAAAAATGTGTAACATGCAGCAAGGGGAGGTTAATTCAGCTAATTCAACAATAAACCTAGTTGCCAATCTAGTAGTATGCTTAAACTAATGTAGTTGAGGAACACTCATGAGAACAAATGGCATGAAAATATTTATAGAAAAGAGAGCAAAAAGCAATGGGAAAGTGTTGAAGTGAAGGTACCAGGACCAATTACATACAGACCCTTCTCTGGATTTTGTCACAAATTTCTAAATATATAGCAAGAGCACCAGACCATATATGGTAGCAATGTGTAAAATGGATTTGTAAGCATAAAGCATAAGGAGAGATAACTGCCAAATGAAATTACCTTTTTATCTTGAAGTTGAGCAAGGGCAAATTTTTTTAACTGTTCAGCAGGTTGATTAATGTAAAGAACGTGTTTGCCATTTGTTACGTTACCCAAGTATTCCACTGTATAGAGCTTGTTATAAGCATTGTTTGCACGTGGATCATTGACTAAACAAACCTGAAAGACAAACAAATATCATTTTAGAGTCAAGTAAATAAAATTTTGAAAATCTAAACTGAATTGAATGTCATAAGAAATTTCATGTCTATAGTTTAAGAATTTCTAATGAAAATTAAAATCAAATCATTTTGGTGGGCTATGTTGATTCGTTGAAATAAAACTGAACATATTCTTTTTTTGTTCATTACATTTGTCTCCATTACTTCATAGTTATTATTATCTATCAAGCAGATTTAATTCATATGCTTCTGGCACCTTTTTTCCATCTTAACTATACTTATAAACCATAACTTTGGAAAGTGAAAATTTGACTGAAATATGTCAGAAAATTTCTGAGTTTTAATTTGAAATCATGAAAATACATAATTTAAGCAAAATAGTCACAATATAAGTTAAAAAGGGTGCCAGTTTAAACTGGTACCAGGAAGATATCGAATTAGAAGAAAAAGGTTAATAATATCATTTGATTGAGCAAACATATTTTTTCTTGTAATAAATAAATATTAAATTCAATTTTTGTCTTATTTGACATTTTTTCAATGTTGTGTCCCTTCTGGATATGAATGATCATGTCTCTCCACAAATTCCCTCTTAATACATATGAATTGCCATGACTTCTTGGCGAAAAATAGTGTAATTTCTTGTTATGAGTGTGTAGCCAAATAGAACATTCACTTTCTGATGTTATGAGATAAGGGAGACAAACCTGGTGAGTGGCACTTATGGAAATTGCCTGAAAGCCATACCATGGGTTGATCCAAACTTTGGATGTGAAATTGGGTAAGTGGGAACTGTTTGGAAGCCATTGATGGTTGTGCTCATATGTAAGCCACCAAGGGTTTGGGCATGCTAAACTTGTTAAAAAATTGATCATGCCAGTTTATGCACTCTCTCCTAGTAATTGTAGCTAAGATTTGATCAGCATAGTTGCAGTATCAATAACAGAGCAGGCATCTGTAGTAGGGTTTGTCTAGCTGCCCTTGTAAACAGGTGGGCTCAGAATCAATTAGTAGCAGGCCATTATTATTAGTTTCCTGTTGCTTTCTCCACCATTTTAAATTCATAGTAAATGAAATGCCTCCAAGTCTTTATTATTTGACATTATCTAATTATAATCAAATAGATTTACTTGCTATGCATTTAAAATGATCATTTAACAGCAAAGAAAACGGAATCAGCAAGTTCAATTCCCAGCTGAGATAGTGCATGTTTGATTTACACTAATGATCTTGGGAAAGGCATCAAACCATTACTTCTCTATCTAATGGTAAATGCTAGTTCAATTGGAATACTTAATCCATGTCAAAGGCAGTCCAAGAAAAAACAGGAATACCAAACTCATATAAAGGCAGGATTAGTGTTGAGCTAGCATCTCTACCTTATATATAAAAATAAGAAATCTGTTACTGAAACCTCGGACACATCAGCCTACATGAACTAATGATAATTTATGAAATACAAAAAATAAATTTGAAGAAAATCAAGTACATTAAATCACTTATTTAAGCATAATATATATTTAAATTCTTCATAGGTCAAGTTTATAATATTTATATGACTATGTTCATTTTGTAAGCAAAAAATCATATGCATAATAAAGATATTTTCTCAACAATGTTCATCTTAAGAATTCCTAATGAAAACGAACCACTTTCTTTTTTATTTTCAATGTGTAAACTGCTCAAACAAACTAAAATTAAAAATCACAAAATTCAGTAGTTAAATCACCAAATTCTACTTTTAAATGTGGATATTGTTCAATGACCTTCACAGCCTTTGATTTGATAGTCATAATTGATCAAAAGTATGCACAAAAATTATATAAGAGGAAAATTTTATGGTGATAAGTTAAAGTAAATTTATAAATTCAAAATAATAAAAATGTAAATTTATAGTTAAATATTTTGGTCTTTAATTAAGACCAAAACATTTAACTATTTACATTATGGTAATGCTATCTAAATTAGTTTAATGAAAACTTTAGCATCTTACTTCTTAATATTGGTTGTTTATATATAATCATCAGAATGCATTTAAGTTTGCATATAAATTCCTCTTTGGAGGGATTTCAATGCAGGACAGAGGGGCAACTGAGGAAAATTATACTGAAGAGGTGCCCAGCCCTGGGGAACAGCTGCCCGAGGCCGCGCCCTCCCACTGCACAAGAGGGAGGGGTCGGTGCTCACACTGAGGCCAGCGCAATCGATGGTTGTGGGGGATGAGGGGAATTTTTGTCCCTGCCCGAGTGTACACGCTCGGTTCCCCACATTAATCCAACCTTGTGTCACATCTCATTCTCATGGGGGAATGAGTAAACACCGCATTTAACTTTGGATAGATTAAACCTTGTGATAACATGAGATACATTATCGGTTATATAACTTTTACATCTTATAAAACTGATCTTAAATAGGATTAAAACAAAAAACGATTTTTTTTATTATTACTACTGATATTTTAGATTTACTGCAATATATAGTAAAAATAGAGTTATCACTAATGTCAGATAATGTTGGATATTTACTGTATCAACCTTTTACAGATAAGATTTTGCCTGAATTATTCTAAGGAAGCAATCTGTTCTAACACTGTCGCCCCAGCCCCTCAACCTCCGACGTCTTACTCTCTGGGTTGAGGTGTCTACTCGGGCTTAACCGAACTTAAGGGAGTGACCGTAGGTCCCCTGAGCATCTGTAGATTATTCAACCAGTTCACTGGTTTAACCCTGCTTCCTGCATTACGTGTTTGGTTTGATCCAGAAAGCAGAAGTGATATTCATCCATTCATGGTCAACTGAAGATGTAGACACAACTGGAGAGTTTGTGCTAAGAAATTTAGAATGGGTTAAAAATTATATATATATATATATATATATATATATATATATATATATATATATATATATATCTGCAGAAAGCCAGACAAACAACTATTCAATGGTTGAATTGTTAATGTCTTTTATATAGCAGAAAAGAATAGTATAGAAAATAAATGGGTTACAGAAAAGAAAATTATTTGACATAAAAAGAAAAAGAAAAACTCATATACTTGATTCTAGACAGAGAGAGAGTGGGTTTTGATTAACTTGTTAAATCGTCTCAGAATGATATGCGACTCTTGCGATGGAGAGATAAAGATAGTTGCATTCCTCCTCGGCAGTAGTAACAGTAGTAGTAATCTTCATGGTAGAAGAAGCATCGGTACTTATATTAACAGTACATGTTAGTGGGGATTTTGTTCCAATCTCTGATATCACTTTCATACTACTTCTTTTCAACTCTGTTCACTTTCAATCACCGATATCTCTCCACCCAGCTCAACTGCACTCGAAGACAGACAAGCAAAAACCAACCTTTGGTTATTGTAGCTTGTTCGATGTTTCCGTTTCCAGTGGTAGTAATAATAGTAGCAGTAGCAGTCTTAGATTGTTGGAGGAGTAATTCGCTTCTTCATACTTATATCAACAACATATGTTAGCGGGCGTTTGGTGCCAATCTCTGATGTCACTTTCAATCTCTGACCTTTCTCTCCACCCAGCTCGACTGCTTTTGACGGCAGACCAGCTAACCACTCTGATTAGTGTACCACCGCGACCTGTAACGGCCGCCTGCAGGTGCCCATGCACATGACGGCATGCAGCGACAACGACATGCTGACCAATCCTGTCTGGCCTCTTCCGTCTCGCTCGACAGTCTGCCCTTCTTCAGCATAACTACACGTTTATATAGATAAATCTGGTTGATCATAAATCGACCCTTGGCCCACACGTGATTATCACGAGTGCCATTTTCAACCCAAAATCATGTGAATTTCAAAGTAAGCTTAGTAAGCTTTATTTCAAATTTTAACTGTTAAAATTATTTCGATCATTTCTATTGTCTTTTTTAATGACCCAATTCCAAATGGGCTAGATCAGATTTCCATCAGTAAACAAAATTGTTCTGATCTAATTTCACTGTTCAAATCTACTCTAATTTCAATAAAAAAATGTGTGTGTGTGTGTGCGTATTTCCCAAACTCTCTCCGTTACACTGTTGTATACAAACTGTGAACTGAATTGAAAACTAGAGGAATAATTATGCCAAGTTAAGATTGCAAATGATGGGCAAATAAAAACAATAAAAGTTTGAATTAAAATTGATGGGGATAAGCAAAGGGTTTATTCATTTTTATTTAAAGTTAAAAATACCAGAATGCCAGTATTTTCAGTAAAGATTAAACAAAGAAATAAAATTAACTATAATAAAAATATTAAAACCTTCGGGGGAAGGAAAAAAAAAAAAAAAAAAAAAAAAAAAAAAAAATTGTAAATGCATTTAGAAACAATCTGATTAAAAATTAAAAATACCCAACATACCATCTCTGTGACATCCCAACAGGGGTGTACATATTGTTTATAAAATTCCAGTGGGGTTATTTTGTCCACTTTGTGATAGACTTTGTTCTTGTTGTAGTATTCCCAGGTAATAGTGGCAGGAGGAGAAAAAGAGTGATGGCCAAAATGGTATACAACTGCGCAATGAGAAAATGTCAAAAGGTTACACCCTTCCACAACTAGAAATGTGAAGAGTCATTCAGAATTAAATATTTATTTCCAGCTACCAAATAATTTCAATAAGGTGTTGAAAAATTTACAAGTAGCTATAATTTTATTTTAATTATATCTTTAAATTATAGATTGCTTCACTTTTTAAAAAGTTCTCATAATAATCAAGGATTTTTAGTTGTTTTGTTAAGCTGACAGCAAAGTAACTGAGACAAGCCACCTAGAATATTAAATAGTTTTATTAAACCTTTATCCAAGATGATAAATGTTTGGTTTTAATGATTCTATTTTATTAACTGTGACTGCTGTTGGTAGGCTAAATAATCAACAGTAAGTCTTATGAATAACAAAAATCTATTAATACGATTAAAAGAGTGAAAGAAATAATTTTCAAATAATTTACTATTATGACACTTCCATTTTAAGGTGTGCAAAAATTTATACAAATTTACTCAAGCGATAAAGATAGAATAAATAAATTGGTGGCATATTTTAAATCCTTATCAGGTTTTCATGTGAGTTTTTAAATATATATAAAAATAGATTGCTTATTCAAGAAGATAATTCAGAAAAAGAGACGTTGCAACAAATAACACTAGGTATATTACAAAGTAGGATTCTGATCTGAAGAATGTGTTTCAAAGAAAAGATATTTTAGTTGTACCTCTTTTAGCATATCTTTTTTAAGGACCTTAAGATCCAAGTCTGTAACACCTTTCACCACAGCTTCTTGCAGGGTTTTGCAGTACTCCTTCATCTGGAGAAGTGAGAAGGAAAACAATTATGAATCATGTTTGCAAAGGTTATTAAAATAGCATAGCTACTTTAATATCAAAATTTACAAAATCAAAATAACCTAGACATTGTAATTGACAAAGTATTAACAATGAGTAGAGATCAATGTGAATTTATGGGATTGTAAATGAGACTATCAATGACAATTTAATGCATTAAGAAAAATGAATATGCTGTTAGAAACTGACATATAGGAGGGATGATATTACAGAGTGTTTTAGCACTATTTTACATGTTTAATGCTGGATGACTTCCATACAAGTGGAAAGGAGACTTGAGAAAAGAGATGTGGCTCTATAAAAGGATGCTAAGAATACCATGTGAACAACATGAAAGTTTTAAGGAAAAATGTGAAAAAAAAAAAAAGAACACATGTGCTTAGGATCAGTAAGAGAATTTTTGGGACATAATGAGGAAAAGGGGTTTGGAGAATTTGATACTCACAGGACATTGAGGAACAGAGGAGAGCATCAAGTAAATATTCTAGAAAGCTTGTGTAAATGTATGGCAGAACTGAGAAGGATAGTAAAGAAACAAGCATTACTTCAAGCTACAAAAAATAGGAAGTTATAGATTGCCATGTCCTGAATGGACACTAGAGTTGGTCAGTTTGGCAATTTATGTTTTGTATTGGTTTCTGTTTATTTTCCTTGATACTGCAGTTTTCAATTTGGTTTTTCGGTTTTTAATTTAGTATTTTTGCTTTCTAAGGAAGCCATTCATTTTCTTGTGTAATAATGATAGCATTTCCAGTCAATATCTGATTTCATTTGAGATGAATTTGCAACTTAGTCTGTTCAACTTGTAATTTCTCGTGTATTTCTAGTCCAATCTTAAAAATATTCATATGGTTGGAAAGAAAAGAAAATAATCTTCCTAAATATATAATTTGTATGTGCTTTTATTCATTGAATTATTTTTTTTACAGTGAGTTAAAACAGTATTTTGCTTCTAACAGCCGAAAATGCAAAATATGATTTTTTTTTTTTTTTTGAGACTAAATTTTACAAGTTACTTTGTTTCACAGAATCAAAGTAACCAACCTTTAATCAATATTCTTGAAATTGTACACTCAATTACAAGACACCTTAAACTACAACCAAGAAGATGTTCATTTCTTCTGACCTGTGGAAGTGAATTCCTTCAAAAATTATTAAGTAAACAAAAAAGAAAAAAAAGAGCAACTGATAGGAATAAATGTGTGGTAAAAGAAATTTCAAATTATTGAAACTACTGGCACTGAGAGACACTTGTTTTCGATTAAAGTTTATTTATTAAACTTTCGAATAAATTGTCAACTATAAATAACTACCATATTTATTAAGAAATTGGTAAAATACTGATGTAATGAATATGCATACACCTGGGTTCCCCTTCACAGTAATATGATTGGCTGGTGTCAGCCATAAATACAGACTGATGTGGAGGTACAGGGATGCCTATAGTCTTCACCTATTGCCTACCACTATAACGAGGACCAGTTACCTGTTACATTACAGTTACCTGCTAGATTGTCCTACTCAGTTACAGTAGTCCAAAACCACTTTGCTACCTCGAACAAATAAATCCCTTTCCGGGACATATACAGTCATATACAAAAGAAATTATCGCATAAACCATCTACATTTGTGTCCTTGGACAACACATTTGAGAGAGAAAAAAAATGGTATAGCTCTCACTAAAAATTAGTTTATGATGTTTTAAAAAGCCAAAAAATGAAACCACTTAGGTTTTTAAAAATACAGTAATTCTTTTCTGGTACACCAGTCAACTGTTATTGGGGTTTTGCAAATTTTTTCTAAACAAGGAAAAATCAAGGAGTTATATTTTTCCCTTAAATAAATTTATTTTTAAAAGGTAAATATAAAAAATTATATATTAAAATAATAAAAATTTTTTAATTTAATTTTAGAATTGTAGATTTCCAAATTTATAAAAACTTTATTCATTTTTTTAGATACACATTTTAAAAACTGAAATTAAAAATTATTTTAATTGTTTTAATATATAATCTTAAGTGTATTCACTAGATAAAACCATAAAGATATTTGTAAAAATAAAATGAATTAATTTTCCTTGTTTGTTCCGAATTTAAAGTAAACAAAATTTGTGATGTTTTTTAAATGTTGACAGATTTGAGAAAGACACACAGTATATAAATGGGAGTAAATGAAAAAAAGAAAAAGAAAAACCCCAAGATAATAAGATTATTGTTTTTTAATTATCTTACTTTTAAAATATTCACACTGTTAAAATTTTGGACATTTCACAGACTTCAATTTTTCTGGGTAAAGTGTCTTAGGAATTATACCATGTTTAACAATGAGGTTGACCAACATGTCCCACTGACCGCCATCATCAATTAAATTTGTCAATAAATAGTCCAAAAAAAAAAGGCTGCCAGCCATCTACATTAATATATAGTGGACAAATGCATCAAGCAGATAGTTGCTTCTTTCAAGCTAAAACAGAAATCAAAAATGTATTATTCTCACTTCATTTATGTTTATTGCATTTTTTCAAAACTTAATCAAAATATTAAGGTATAAGTTTTATTTGGATGTCTGAAGAAAAAGTTGTATAGACAGATGTACTTTTATAGTTTGCTTGTAAAAGTATTTAAGAGTTTATAAAAATCATAAGGAAACTGACCTTATCCCAGAAGAACAGGTATGCCTGACTGAATTCAAATTCTGCAAGTTCATACTTCTCCATGAATGGAATTCGTGTTTGGTTCAAGTAGGCAAAGATCCAGCAACGTCCAGAGGATTTCTGGTTGGTTATGGGTTTTCCTTCTTCAATCTGAAAGGCAAATGGCACATTTAATCAAATTAGAATTGTTAAAGGAAAATACATTTCCATTTGTTTTGGTTTCATTAAGGTTTTTTTTTGTAACCCTTTAAGTAAAATATCTTACAACACAATAAATTAGCATAAATAAACATTCTCCTTCTTGACAAAAGAAGCAATAATGTTTTATTATATTTTTAAACAATTAAAAAAAAAAAAGTCCCGGTAGGAAAAAGGATTGTAATTTATTTATGGAAAAGCACTATTTTTAAAGTTTCTTTTACCTAAAATATATAAAAAAAAAAAAAAAAAAAAAAAAAAAGTTTTATAAAAGAAAAAATATTTATGCTAATCTTTTTTTTTTTTCAAGACTATTTTAAACTAGTTAACAATTTAAGAAATTTGTTTTTGGCCTGAAACAAAAATGGGTAAAATAAATTATTACATATATGAATAATAACAAGGGAGAGAACTTTGCGGCATATTTTGTAAAAGATGATCACGTTCTGAACAAGGACAAGGAAATAATTTTAAGTAGTCAAAAAAGCAAATAATTATTTTAGCAGAATTGCAAACTATATTTGCAAAACTTTAAATTAATAGTTTGACATTTAAAAACAACATTTATGAAACTGATTTATTACAATCTTCAAATTGATTTAGAAACAAAAATGACCAATTGTTTTGAATGAAATTAATAAATTAAAAATTAAAACTTCTCAAATTGTAATTCAACTTCAGATATTAATAATCTTGGGTTATTGTTAGCTTCCTTGCGGCATTCATTAGAACAATTAGCATTAAAATAAAGTAGCTTCCAAAGCTCAAACTTGCATCACATATTTATTTGTTGCATCTTTGTCAAATTGCTTATACAAAAGCATTTTGGTTCTGACAAAATGAAAGTATATCAATTACAAAATAACTCATTTTATATACAACATAAAAATGTTTAAAAATTAAAAAAAAAAAAAAAAAAAAATATATTGATAATTCGTTTTTTTACTTTTTAAAATTAGATAAAATTTAAATTTAAAAATTGACCTGCTAAAAATACAATTTTAGCAAAATTAGTGAGATGAATGTGATGAAATATTTTTAATATATATAAATTTTAAAATTATAATATCTAACTTTGACAAAATTTCAAAAATTTTTTTAAAATTTAAGGCCATGAGTTTCTCTTAAGTGACTAGAAGTTTTAGATGGCAAATACCTTGGTATTGAAGACATGGTTTATGCTAATGAGGGATCGAGGTGACAGTGTCAAATCATTTAATGCTGTGGTAATTTAATATATTTTGGCCCCAGAATTTAATGTTTGATCATGGGCAAGAAACCTCAAACTTTTCATTTTGTCCAATTGCTCAACAGGAATTCCTGAAAGTAAATTAAATAAAAATTAAATCCAGTCTAATAAATGCAGAAAATAAGTTTTAAAATAATTAAAAACTAAAATGTAAGCAAATTGTGAATTTGCCAAAACCGCCAGGGGGGAGTATATTAGTTCCAACTAAGACTATTTTATTTTTCTGTAATTACATGTATCACAATTTTACTTGTGTGTTACATTTCTAAGTCATCCAAAATCAAAGAGACAATTCTGTATAAGGTTAACTCCAATTTCTTCTTTCAAAGTGCATTAAAAAAATAACAAAAAAACAAAAAAAAAAACAACACAGGATAAATATATATCAATACATTTTGAATATCAGAAATATTAGAATAAAAGAAAGAGAATTAGGCTAGAAATGGTCAGATAGCAAGGTGACATTTTAATAAAAACATTACAATGACATCAATTTCAAAGTGGTTATCCATCAGCTATCCGTTTTTAACTTCTGATGGATATGTTTATTATATGTAATATAGCCATTGTGAAAAGCACCCACAGTTATGGCATAATGAGAAGATTTAAAAAGTTTTAAACTAGCAAAGTATGTAACTTAGACACAAGGCTACAAGGAAGGAAGAAAATTGCTGCACTAAACCTCCAGTTGAAGAGGTAATGTCAGTCTTGAAAATCCAACATTCAAAATGTTTGCTTTTACCTAGGATCAAAGTGCCTACTCAATATTGGAACTAATGCTTCTCACTCAGCCACTAAATACATACACAAACCTTCAGTTTTTTTATGCATAGCTAATATAAAGCTTCTGGAAATTGAGAAGTTTTACTAAGGAAAATGTTAGTCACAATATTCCACATCAACATAGCATTGTGTCCCTTGCAAAATAATCTAATGATTTTTATGACTGAAACAGCAACTTAAATTCATGAAAGTACTATATATATATATACACACACACAACATTAGAATAATATTCAGTTTCAGAAAATTGAGTCAAATCCTTGTCTGGTGCACATATCTCTTCCATTGATTAATAGTTCTTTATAGGGATTTATAAACTTGTAGCCATGTTGACATAATTATTTTTTAATGTTCTGCTTTGCTTTCATTTTAGAAGCAATCAATAATCAATGGAAATAAAAACAGGAAATAAAAGATGTACATCCAGTTGATCCCATTTAGAGATAAGAGGGAACAAGTAACTTCATAGCTTAAACTTATAAAAAAAAAAAAAAAAAAATTTAACTCTAGAAAAAAAATCTTGTACTCAACAATTCATAAGAAACTTGGTTGTTCCCATCACAGAAGATATTAGTCTTATCTGGAAGAGTTTATATGAGGTGATTATCCTCTTTAGGATGGTTCAAGATTGTCATGTCCACATCAATTGATCCTGAATGTGAGAAGTTTGCAGTAAACTGAAGCAAAATTTTCATTAATGTTACCAACTTTTGCAACATGAACAGAGTACAGCCAGACCAAAATGGGCTTATAAATTTCACACATTTCTTATGATGCCTCCAACATAAACACTAAACTCAAGTTCTATTCTTAATTTTAATGATCTTAAATTTCTCATACATTTGCTGAATGATCTTTAAATGCACTTATGTTAAAACACCAATACTAACAAATTACCGAGTTCAGAGAAAAGAAGCTGCCAGCATTAAAATGGGTTTAAAAAAATCTCATTTTGAATGTAACGCTTTTATTTTAGAAAGATAAACTTATAGGTCATAATTAAAATTGCATTGTACTAGTTTACCTGTACTATAAAAAAATAACATTTGTAACTTTACAATTGCACTGTACTTGTAAAATATCAAAAACTTATTTGTTTCATATTTCCTAAATAGACTAAACTGATCCTTTGTTTTATCCCCATAATATAAAAAAAACTAATTTTATATATATATATATATATATGGCTCGAAAAGGTTGCCTGAACATGTACATCAAAATTAATTTTTTTTAAGGGTAGTTTATATGCATATTTAAACTTTATATATATAAAAAAAATATATAAAAATGATACTTTCATCTTTTTTGATTATAAAAATAAAGAAAAAGGAAAATAAAACACGAGGCTCCTAAATTGAATAATTTTTAACAATGTGATGTCTTTATTCTATGCACAATGGAATTGTACATTCTTTGCACCAAGTACAACCACTTTTTCTTTTCAAGAAGTATATTTACAAATATAGCACTGTCTTTGGTTTGTTCTTCCAGCTTTATTTGCAGCAGGTAAATACTTTGGGAAATTAAATCCTTAAGTTACCAATTGGCCATTTAGACTCAAATCATGTATGAAAGCTGTCAATATCATTGAGAAAAAGTTTAAGCCATAAATTAATGATATCTGCTGATCTCTAATAAATCAATTGATGATGCCTCCCATTTAAGGATTAATTTTTTTATTTATGTAAAGCTAAATGCAATCATGAGTTCCTTTAATATACAATTATTCTAGTATTGAGGCATTTCTACTGCACCAAAAGACATGTTGTGGACTCTTCTGGTGATGTAGAAATATATTATACAGGCAATATATAGGGATACATATTGCCATTTTATATATGTGCATTATTTGATAGTAATTAAATAAAATTTAACTAATTCATATGTTAAATGCATGGATTAAATTAAGTCTATTTCACTATGTATAAAAATTAACTTCCAAATTCATTCAGCTTCTCCTTGCTTAAAATTATTCCAAAATGACTACAGCAGACAAAAAAAAACAAAACAAAAAAACATTGAAAATGGTTTAATAAGACAGTGTTGGGAAGTACTAAATTATTTAAAATAAAATGTTGGAATTTCCAATAATCTAGCTATAAATAACAGTTACAGTTTGTTACTAAACATTTTTATGGGTTTCCATATTTCTTAAACCATATTGTAGTTTTTTCTCATGAAGTAATATAGCTGTATCAACAATCTACTTTAAGGTATTCATCAAAATAACTGAACAAGGGCCTACTACTGGATAGAACGCCATAGCGGAAGAGGTAAAAATGGCACAGAAGTTGCCTCCCCTTACTATATGCTTCATTAGACATAATTGCTGTAGCAAATTTAATGTTACCAAGATGTAGCTAATAAACTGCATTATTTTAGATTTCACTTCGATTAGATTTTTAAAATAAACACTATGATTGATCAATAATATGAAATAAAAACAGTAGGTTTTAGGTGGCAGCAGTAGTACCTACTGAAAAAAAAAAAAATGGAATTGTTAGAAAGAAAATATTTTTTCAAATCTTAATTTTTAAATACATAAAATTACTAAAAACAAAATTTGTTATTGCTTCCCTACATCTTTTTAGATATCTTAGAATCTCACCTAGCTACTTAATAGTTAATGTTGTAGACTATGATTTTGATTTTATACAAGCAAGCTTAGAGCTAACATGTGACTTGTAATTGAGACAAAGAACTAGAGAGCATATCAGCCATTATTGTAGAAATAGGAAAATGATAAATTATGAAACTTACCCTTAAAATATTCTTTTCAAAATCATCAATTTGAAGAAAAAACTAAAATCTAGAGTAGAATGCTATAAAAATCATAAATTAACAATTTATCTATCTTAAGAGTGATTAATTTTTTTTAAAAGCATTTTATATTTTTTTTTTGAAAAGCATTTTATATTTAATAGCTTCAAATAATCCTAACTGGATAGAGTTTGATACCACCTTATCAGCAAACTTGTCTGTGATGGAAACGAGCCTTCCTTATCAAGAAAATAATAAATAACAAACAAAAATTCTAAGTTTTACACAATGTCTAACTAATATCTGTTTACATTACACATCAAGTTTTGAGAAAAAATATCTGGGAATGTTAATAGGTGAAAATTATCCATTTTTGATGGAACTATTCAAATACAAATTGAAAGTTATTCATTTATTTAGACTAAATAAGCAAAAAAAAATTCTTAGTGATCTCTGAACAATTGATACAATTAATATACCTTACAAGTTTTGGATGAAAATTTCAATGAGTGTGTCATTAGAAATACTTATTAAACTTTTTAAATCTTGACATCTAAACAGAATGAAAAATGACATGTCCATTTCACTATATTGCAAAATTCCAGTTGACACCTAATAATACATAATTTTTAGTATTACAGAAAATAAAGAGCATTACATTTTTAAATTGTTAACTAATTTATGAATTTATAATCTTGATGAGGAAAAAAAGAAAAAATACCATATATATATATAATAATTTATGAAAAATATATTTTCTTTATAACATTTCTGAGTAGAAAAAAAAAAACATTATCACTAGGTTTCTATTTATTTTTATGTCACCAAATGGTTTAACAAAACTTTTCTATTCCAATATAATTGATTTTAGAATAGGGTTTACAAAAAAAAAAAAAAAAAAAAAGTATTATATTTTCTATATTTTCTCTAGAAACACTAAAAATTTTGCATGCCAAATCAATGACTATGAAAAATTAATGGATTTAGAATTATGGGTTTAATATATTTACAGGGAATTTAGAAAGTGCTATACACACTGTAGGTATGTAGATGAATATAAATAATTGACAGATTTTAAAATCTTCAAGGATTCATAAAAAAAGCTTTTACAATCACCTGTTTGACTATTTGATACTTTTAGACATTTAGTCAAATAAAAGAAATCATTGCTGACAATGCTACTATTATTTTATTCCAGTTTTATTTTAGGATAAGTTAGAAATTAAAATAAATTCCTCTCTAGAAAATTACTTACAAAAATAGTGAGTAGCAGAAATTAGAAAGTGTTACAGTTCAACATACTTCAAAGACTCATTTTGTTAATCAATTTGAAGGCTAGAAACATCTTACAATGAAAAAACCAAATGAAAAAATATATGCAATGGTCATTATAAGGTTAACAATATCTTTTTTAAATGCTTATTTTATTTTGGCTGTCAGTCTACAGCAACAAACATACCACACATCAGGCATAATAAAGGAAAACTCATGCCCCACTTTGCATTAAATAAACCTGGTTAAATCTACT